TCTCTCCTCCCCCGCCTGAAAGCTTGGCCACATCTCTTGGCTCACACATTTATTAATGGGCATGTTTTACGCGATTTTGAGAGCATTGCCATCACAATACCCCCTTGTCTAGCAATAGCGCCTCGGAAAAAAATTATTTTTGATTTCTATTAAGTTAACAGTTTCTCTTAATAAACAAAACATGTGATAACAAATATGAACAAAATGATAGGTTATTAGCTTTATTAGCAACATCGGAAACTATCTAAAGCCAATACATAAACCAAAATAATAAATCTCAACCCTAATATAAGTTTGTAAGAACAATACAAATGCATCAAAAATAAAATGATTATAGGATTTTTGGCACAACGTCTCTCATCCCTGCACATCATCTGGCTTCTTGGGGAAGAAACGCTGTATCTGCACGAAATTCTGCAAAAATACGTTTGATTAGAAGCAGTCCGCTTTCAGCTGTGAAAATAGACTTCAAACCTGTGGAGTGACAGTGAAGCGGTGTGAAACACCTTTTGGAATCACAATCAGATCGCCTCGTTCGAGCTGAATTCGGATCCATTCATCCTCCTGAAAAACCTCTCCATTGGCTTACCGTACACTACTTTATTCGTTGTTTGTTTCATTGTTTTGCTTATTTGTTTTGTCTGTTTTGTTCCACAAAATAAAATTTGGGTGCTCTCACCCTGATCGGGGGGGGGGGGCACTCTGCTGCAGCAGCTTCAGCGGATCGCGAGAACACTAATTGCGTACATGGAGCCTGTTAGGGTTGGTAACTGTTATGATCTTTGTAAGAGCCCTAAGGTGACGCCTAAAAGGCGGAGAACTACTGTAAAAAAAAGGTACAGCTCGCGCAATCTGTAGCCCGTCCAAGGCTTAGCACTAAACTGAGCCTTACTGTAATTCATAACCCCCTCAATTCAAAATCGTCATCCAATGCCCCAGTAGGTGTTAATGGCGCAGTAGGTATTCTGAAGGTTTATAATGTTTGTTGTGATTTTGAAGTCTTGCTTACATCATGGCAGAATGCCATCCTCTCCCCTCCCTCACCCTTCCCGTCTCCCCTATCCGTCCTCCTCTTCGATAAGAAAAAGCGTCTGAACCTTTTTTTTTTACATAACCTATACCTACCTACATATTTGACCTTTGTATAACAATTTGAATGTTCTAGTTGTTTGCTCCTTGAGATCATTCAAATTTGCCCTCAGAAGGAGACATAGCAATACATATGTTAGACCTTTGTGCTCAAAAATATTAAAGCTGAAAATGATCGTAACAGTGCCAACCTCAGGTTCCACGTCGTAATAGCAGGTGCCCTCCAGGACCATCGATACCACGTCCTGCGATTTCCTCGTTGGCTCGTAGTAATCCTCTAGCTGTAAAACAAGTCACAATCAGGAAATTATAACTATATCACAAATTTCTATGGGCTTTCCAGAGGACATAATCACTTAAAGATCCACGATCAGAGATTCAAATCCCGCAAGAGGGGCTAACGGCCCAGCGCCTGCGAAGGTGGTCTCCTGACTCAAAGGACGTTTTAGATAGTTTTTTTATCTTATGCAAATGTTGCCAGGAATCTAAACTGATTTCTCAGTATATCAAGATAGCTGGTGAACACCTGCCCTGACTGCCGGGAAACATCTCAATCACGCCTACAGTAACGAAAGCCAGCATCCGGTTTTGATTTCGTATCAGAGGAAACTGAGTCAATCACCCGTGCTAAAGCAGGGAGATCAATTGTTATATTCATGCTATTAATCAGCCTGCAGGAATTGAAAACGTTCAGTACAGAACTGAAGCTCCCTTGTCTAATCGTGTGTGCAAGTGCAGTCCCCTGTTCAGAATTTCCACCGACAATAGCGCTTCGAAACAACGCTGAAAGCTTTCAAAAGCGGTTTTGAAGGTCGCCACCGATCGAAGATCCCGGCATAAACGCCACCAAATGATGCGCCATTTCTTTCCCAACCGCTAAAGAATTCTTTTTAGTGGAAGTCGCGAATTACAAAGCAATCCAGGAAGACCTGTCAATTATGTCCGCAGGTTCGCAGATGGCAAGCCCTCGCATAAACGATACCTTTTCGTTAAAATCTGGCGTTGTGTCGTTGATGGTGAGAACATCGGACGAAACCACTTTTCTCTCGTTTTTCACTCGTGAAAGCCGCTTTTTCATCGCCACCGTGTCGTCCAAATCTACCTGAAACGAGCACGATTTCTGGTTTATTGAGGATTCCGAGCGCCGTCGGAGTCAGGAAGACGACTAAACAAACAAACAGATTATTACCTTCATAGCGATTTGTCCTCCGGCATCCGGCCACATATTATTTGTTTGCTAACTGAGTAAGCTGAAGTTTTATGCTACCGGCGCTCTCATTGAATACAATCTGTCCAGGACGAACTTAGTCACAGATGGCACAGGCTTGAAGGAATTGCCCACGGAAAAGCTGTTCCTTCCCGTTTGCTGGACGACATCTGCCACAGTGGGCGGGACCGGAAGTGCTTTTGTGACGAATTGTATGGTAGGTGCGAAGCCACGTGTAACCGTTCCTGGGGAGGTTTAGAATGAAACCCGTGCACCATTACGCTTCAGACACTTCAATACGCGTTGGCTCCCCAACGCTAACACTTGTAACAGTTTTACGGCGGGGATTCAAAATTTTTCTCATAAATCTTACTTTTTTTTATTATTATCATACCAACGTTTACTTTTCGCTATTTTTGCTATCTTCGTAAAACAAGGGGGGTTAAGGTAACAGTTGCTAATAAGGGTTTTCCGAGAGCGACTCCTCAAACCGTCCCAGAAACATCCTCGAAACTTCGGCACTGGCAAAGACCAGCATTCAGATGGGTTATCCTCAACTTCATCCTCTGACCTGATTGTGTGGAGCGCCCAAGCAGGGTTATTGGAATCCCATTACTAGGCGTATTCAATGAAACTGTTCTCTTTGCAAAAATTTGCTATTAAAAAAAGAGTAGCCGGAAGGGCTAGGCCTAATGACTGCGGAAGTGCGGAAGTAGATCTCACTTATAGTAGGTTCACCCAAGTCCCTCCCCCCTCTCGGAGAGCTTGACTTATTCTGTGAGCATGCAATTGAAACTATCTAGGAAGCGACTGTCCATTGTGGATATCCTCTATTGACAGTAGCGAAGAGAGGGTCGTAAAGGTAAGCAGGGGTAAATGGGAAGATTTGGCTTAATAAGTGGTGGAGGAGAACTTAATTGCAGTGTTCCCCAAAGATCCCTTCCTTCCGTCGACGAGGATTACCTAGTTCGTTCGCTCTCAGTCGAGGCTACGGAGCGACCGTATCATTGGCTGAGCGTATCCCACATCTTTGGTTTGAGAAGGAGCGACCCAAAATAACCAACAACCTCTTGAAAAAATCACATTTTACCTATTACACAGAGATAATGGTAATCACACAGCTTACACTCTTGAACAGAAGCTTCCAACTCCATAAAATAGCTTAATTTGTATGATTATCTTGTTAAATAAACCACTTAAAACCTCACCTTGTAGTAGACCACTCCAGTGAGCGTAAGCAGTTGATCGGGGCTGATCTTCTTTGGTGGGAACACATGATGCGGTAGCCTGCGATCTCCGCATGGGTACGGCTCCATATGCCAGATTTGCATGGTTAATCTCAAATTAATTAAAATTGAAATAGACCAAAAAAAGTACTGAGAAAGCCGTTTGAGCGATCACAGAATTCATCACGGAATATGATGATTCAAGATGATGGCTGAGATTGAAAATTCAAAGGAATAAAATATTAGGTAAACACCTTAGTAGGCGAATACTCGAGGAAGCTATCAAGCTTAGGTTCTGGAAAAGTCTAGGTTCAAAAACTTCCCTGTGCAGAACTTTGAAAAAATAGAGATAAATAATATAAGGATTGGAAAAGTAATATGTAAGGAATGGGTGGGTTGGATAATGGCTTTGTCGTACGCCGCTCCGTGGAAAAATTGGTATCGCAAGAATTGCTGGTTGGGGGCAAAAGCTTTGTCCTACCGGGCAGGTTCGTGGCTCGGCAGATTCGCGGCTTTCCGGGGCCAGTCGTGGGCGTACCAACACACCGGGCAAGATTGGAGCCATCAGTGCCGTTAACAAGCAATCGAGATTACAGCCATGGTCACTTACCATCCAAAATATTTGCTCGGGAGGGAATTGTGGCGCGGGGTGGAAGTGGTAGCAGAACAGCTGGGTGATGGCTCGGCGGGAAGCAAGAGAGTGGTGGTGGTACGCGTCCCGCCTAGGGCGGGAAAGTGTTGTGTGCTCGCGATATGTCATACTGCGGAGTCGGTAGTGCTTGTGTGTGATAAGATACAGCAGATTACTGTATATGAAACACATGCCTGGGTCTCATTTCTAGAGAATACCCATTCGGAGAACCAACGCAGACACGCCAAGCGGTGAACGCTGGACCAATTGGGAACCCGGGTTTTGGAGTTTCCAAATGTACTTGTGCAGTTGATTGTCGATAATCCCCACATGACACGCGTGCGCAGCGGATTGCCGAACGACCGAACGCCTGCACATCGCCGGATAATCGCCACGGTGAGCGGCACAGTAATCGGGCAAATTCGACGAGAAAAAAGAGCCACATTCGTAGCGGTCATTCAATGAATCCGAGTTCATTTCCACGCCGTGATTGGGACCTTGGCATTCTTTCAGAAGGACATTTTTTCAACAGACTATTGAGGATTGTTTACTCGACTATGAGGTGGCAAAAAATACGTCCTAACAGCGAAGAACAGAGCCTAAAGGTTGATGGATTTAGACTCGCGCAAAAAGCCTTTTTGAGGACCGCATTCCGGGCCAGCACAGTCCACGTCTGTGTTAACTCCCTCAGAGACGGAATAGTTCCCAAGCCTTTTACCGTCGAAACGTCGACCTTTTTTGGCAATGAAGGTACCAATGAGCGGTTTACGGAGAAGTCATGAAGGCAAAGCGAACTCCAACTATCATAGAAGAAGGACAATGAGAACTGAGAGCCTCCTTCCTAAGCAGAAAAAAGGAGGCGAAAGGCGCTCCGACTACCCGCCGGAACCGGATGATGCTATATTTTTAGCCTAGACGCTTTTTTAGTCATTTAAAAACGGCCCCTGAGATCACGGATATGCACCATCCCCGTCGTCGGTTCGCGCCAGCGCTCTGGCAGCCGACCGCCTTTTCTCAGAAGAACGGGAAATGAAAATCGACGCAGTCGTCTAGTGTTCTTTAAAGGAGATGTTACCATAAATGTGATATGGAAGAAGGGAAGGTGCTCACCTTGCAAAAGACGACATACCCCGAGGAAGTGTAGAGACATGCATCGCCGCGTAGCTAACCCCGTCCCTGGTTAGCGCCGCCTGCTGTGCTCCGACCCGCCTCCTCTCTCTTCGCATTGAACGGGGATTTCATCTTAAGCGGTCGCATCTTTGAGTTCCTTTAGTTTATGTTTTATCGATAAAGGATGACATTTGTTGAGAAGGTCCCGGTTAACAGGACTAGCACGCTAACAGGACTAGTACGGACGTGTCGTTCTATCCTGGCTTTGGCTCATCGGTGGGGTCGTGTGTGTCGCAAGTATGATTCGTCATATCAATGGAAGAGGAGCGTGGGTCCCATTTTTTCGCTGTCCTTAATTCGTTTCCTTCTCGCACTTTTTCTCGAACCGGGCGCACTGCTTAGTCACACACTATTTTTATGTAGACTCCAATGCGCAAATGATTTCTTGGGTACATCCGCTTTAAGGCCGCTTTCCCTTCGTGTAGTCTGTTGTCGGCATTGTAGAGGAAGGTCTGCGGAAGATGTGCGATATATGTTGAAGATATGCGGTATAAGGAAGTATTGGGCGGCTAGCAAGCGTTGCATGGTGGTTCTTAAGTGGTGAAGCAGGCATGTCTCGCGGGCGTACTCTCCAGGCGCCAGCGGCGGAAGGTTCGCTGTTGGGTCGTGTCGCGCTCAGCGCACTGTTGCAGTGAGAGGTTGCTCGAGTCACTCGCCGAGTGGTCTATGAGTGCAATCGACCTCGCTGTCGCAGCTGGGATGAGCGTGGTGTGGGAGTGGTACCTCGGGGTGTTGTTGTCGGCTACGTGTGTTCGTAGCATCAGTTATTTTTCCAGCACTTCCAGAGCCCGAAAGGAAGCTTATCAAGAGCGGAGAGGGGGATGAGCTCAGGGGGAAACATCGGACTATATTCGTACGTCGCAACCCTCCGCCATGGCAGGGGACGCCGAAAAGCGGGGCCTGATCCTTTGGTTCATTTTGGCAGTGGGACGTAGCGCACTTCAGACCCGGCTCCTAAATGCTTTGGTTGACTGAGAGCTGACAGTGGCCCCGCTTGGCTTCTCTACCTACTCCGAGTGATAAGTGGTTAATATGTACAACAGAACTGATCGCTGAAGGAGAATATTCCAAGGAAACCCGAGAAACTTGGGAAAACTGTTCCACTGTCGGACACAGACACGCTGTTCTTCAGCCATTTCAGGGTATTAACAAAAGTGTCGTTGCAGAAGCTTTACGCATAAACCATCCCGTTCGGAGGCGGTAAGCGCGCTGGAACCACTCCCTTCAGCGAGAAGAAGAACGGCTGTTTTTAGTAGTTTGATACATAAAACAGTCTCTCTCACTTTCAGGCCACGATAAGGTCTCTCGGAAAGATCGCCACACCCTGGGTGATCTTCGATGACAAGAAGGGCATTGCGGGGAAAACAAGAAAGCATCAATGTGTTGGCAAGGCCTGAAACAACAACACCTTTATCAAAACCAGTAGGCGCGTTACAGACGTCTGAAATCTGTAGACCTGGCCAACTACAGTAGCCGAGAAACGAAAGATTCAGCGCTGATTTGCGGTGCAAACGTACGCCGTGCGGAACCCTGGCAAGGAATTAATGGTATTTCCAGGGGCGGTGCTCCAAAATGACGAAGTGTTACAGGTTTCTGCGCTGAAAACACTTTACGTGTTTTTCAGAAACACACGCAAACATCTGCCGACCTTTTTCAGTCGACGATGATTTCAGTCCGGAGTAGGTAGGCCAACAACAGGTTTCTCGAATAATGAATGACGATGATTTCTAGGTGAGACAACATTTTTGAAGGAGCACCGGCTCTGCAAAATTAAAATACGGTCACTTTAGAAGGAATGCAGCATCTTGCTGAACTCGATGAAATGCGCAGGAAAAGAGGAATCCTTCAAAGGCCAAGGGACGAGTGAACATGCTGCTTGTCGCCCAACAGTTCTCAGAACGCTTCAACTTCACAGCTTCAGAATTCCTCATGCTTGGTATCAGGCTCATTTCACACACGGGGTCGGTATAAACGGGGAGATGATGGGAAGGGTTATGGTGGGTAAATAAGATAGTTGAGCAAGTATTATAGGTAAGCAAGCTAAGCAAGGGTTACCCTGGTCTCGGTATTGCCTACCAATTTCTCAGCCTCGTTCCTGAAAGAGATAGGTCAAGGCACTAGAGACCTTGTGTACCAGAAGCTCCATGCCACTGTCGTCCTTGCAACTTGGTGATAGTGTGAGTTGAGCGACTTATTCTCTCTACAAGCATAGACAAGGTTGGAGAGATCATGCCGGCTGTGGCTTTCATCACCAGTTCATCACTATCAGGAAGTTTTCGGAGAGTTAGTAGACCTAGGGCAAAAACGTCGGAGATAATCGAAGATAGCTTAGTGAAATATCAAATCGATAGCTCCTACAGTAAAGGAAGTTCAGTTAGGGGAGTTAAAGTTAGAAACCAGGATCATAAGAAGGTGAAAAGCAGGGGTGGTAGGCTAGCTGAGATTCTCCTCGGAGAGCTACTGGCAACGGTCAGGTCCTTTCCCTTTCCACAAAGCGATGTGGAGCAAGCAGTTTGCTAACTTATGGTAGTTACATAATGTGAGAGCGAGACTACATATTACTTTAGACTAGCTTATCGGAAGAATTGCAGAGGGAAATTGCACAAAATGCCAGGAACGCCCTTTTTGCAAGACAGCCTTACCCATAGATTGACAATTGGACTGGTGCGGGGAGGCCCCCCCGGCCCCTGTACGAAATAACCACTTTAGGTATGCTGACAGAATGGCTCGGAGGTGGCGTAATGGCAGTGAAGTAGCTTACTTCAGCCTCGGTCAATCCAGGTTGCGACAAGGGTACCAACGGGGGGTCGTAGTTTGGTGAGTTTGTAGCGCTTGGGGCGGTCGTAATTGGCATGTAATTTTAGGGTGCTATAGTGTAAAGGAGGCGGGGATAGATTTTTTACTACCCCCTCTTGCTCTCGAATAAACAGCTATAGAAATAGCGGAACCAGGGACGGCGAGGGGTGGTGAAGTTGAGGTCGGGAAATTTTGATTGGAGGAGGAGGGGGTAGTTAAAAAAATTTTCGCAAAAGTCGCACACGTTTGGAGGGGGGGGTTGAGTAAAAATTTTCCGAAAAGCTCGCAACGATAGCGACCGCCGACCCGCTTAGCGCAGCGCTTCACGGGTGCACAAACTCCAAACTCTGCCGTCGTCCTTACTTCATTCAATCCGCCATCCACTAAACCGCCTGAGACGTGACGTTTCACAATAGTGGAATCATGAAGATATGAAACTCTCTCAATGATACATGGCTACTTCACGAGTTATTACATGAGCCTAAATCAACTCAAACACACGCATCGTTCGGAAAAGATTGTAGATTTCCGTGACGCGCATCCAACAAAGTTTTGATAATGAGAAATTACCTTCTGTTTTTGCTTAGTCAAGACGAGCACCGTGTCTTATTGGTCAAATGCTGAAAACCGGGACTGTCATCTTGGGGAGCCGAGAAAAAGAATAGCGAATGGTTAAGATCTCACCTGAAAGGAAGGAGGAAAAAGGAGGAACGGAAGCGGTTTGATGGAGTTGTCCTTGAAATGGAAAGTGAGGAGCTAGGTGTGGATAGAAGTCTTTTATTATAGACTTATTCGACATGCATCAGTGTTGGGAAAGGTTCTAGCAATATCTCTTAAAAATGGAAAAAAAAAAACTGGAATCTGAGTCTGGAATTGCGCTAGAAAAAAAACGCTTGAACTGAGTGTTTCTAAGCGACGTCAAAAGAAAAGCTGACTACGTCTCGCACAAATAGTGAAATGAAGTGTTCTGATGAACGATACCGCTCACTGAATAAACTTTCAAGGATTGGAGGTGGAGCAAAACGGTATTCAAGGAAACGTGCGAACAGATCTCTTTTGGAAGGATCCGTGGCTTGACGTCTCTGAGCTGCTAAAACACACTCCCACTGAAACTTTTTTGTCTTTTAAAGCAAGTTTCGAATGAAGGGGAGATGAAATCAAGACATCTGATTGAAGATCAGCTCCATCTGTCGTCTGAGCGATCTTTCGATTCGACAGCGACATTCCCAAGATTGAATCAGTTCCTCAACCATTCACAGCAAAAACATGCAGAAACGGACAATAGTTCGTTTTTCCATGCAAATTTGGACAGGCAAAGATGCAAGCAGATAAAGATTTTCGAATCGCGAGAGAGTGAGATACCCTTCCATGCACACCCAAATGTCGAGTCGATGGAACCCGTTTCGCAAAGCTGAATCGGACGATTTCAGCTGAGTGATTACTTTGCGCACTTAGTGACACGAGGGTAATAAGGTTTCGTTAAGGTACACTAAATGATGGCCTCGGCGTTCATTGGCCAAAGAAAGAGCAAGAAATCAGATGTGAATGAGAGAAGAGGCGCTCATGTCGTTAGAAGGGACACTGAAGTGAGTGAGTCACCTGCAGAACTCAAGACTGAACCTCAGAAAGGGGAAGGATTGGGAGGACGTGAGCAACCTCCCTTCTCCCTAGCGTTCCTCCCCTCTCCTGGGCTTAGTCCTAATGTCACCCAACAGCGGTTGTCAAATACCTTATTTTAAATGTCTCCCCTACAGCCATGAGCGCCAGAGAAGAGATTACTTATCCACGTAGATGCAATGCGAGTCGCAGGTGGAGGAGGGTATGCCAATTTTTGGCATTGCTTACCCACCCCGGAAATCCTCCTTTCCGTACGGCTAAGCCTCTTGGGTGGCTGAGTATCTCGCCCGAAACTCCTTCAACTCGAGACCGGCATACCACCCTTACCGGCAATGCACCGTCTAATTAGGAGGATGGAAAACGAAATCATTAAAACCAATATAATTCAAAGGTGCGATGTGAGCTGGGTGGGCACGCCGACTTTCGAACTGAAGGAATTCCAGTGGAAACAATGTCCCTTCCCCACCTTGAAATTCTCCTAGAAATTGTCCTTCCCATAGGCCTAGTCTCAGGAGAGATGGAGGTGGAACTCCTTGGTGGAGTT